AGCTTGGCTGACCTGTGTTCTCCATGTATGCTACACTTCCTTACTGTGTATTGGGCACTTAAACGATCTGTGATTCCAAAGTGGGTAGATGTAAGATATATAATAAATAATTGGTGGTCCTACTTTTTTGAAAAGGTTTTCGATTTTCTAAAATGCATTGCCCTTTGAACGCAACGTTCCCAAACGATTCCATTAAGACACACTGCTAATGGGGATGATCTGTGTGTTTTTGTATTCAGGCTGGGCCTTCGGAAAATATCAGACTACCAGCAGTTAGAGCCCTGTGTCTTCAGTCTGTCACGTAGCAGTGTGGGCTGGTCCTGACTGTCTCTGTGCTGATCTCCTTTGTTGACTCTCATCACTGCGCATCATTCTTCTGTCTCTCATTGTCTAGCCTGCTGTGTGATCTGTCCCTCTGTTCTCCTCTAGTCAGGTCTGGCAGGAAAGGACGGCGGAGAGTGTTTAGTCTTTCCGAGGCTGAGAGTCGCGGTGGACACTGGGTTTAGGTCCTCGAGCAGCAGGCACCAAGGCAAATCAAACCCAGGCAGGTCCTTCTGTGAGATTCACAAAGGAAGGCAATTGAGACTTTTCCTTTTATTATGGTTTCCATCTCTACTTGCTCTTAGAATCACCTTTTCTTATTTAAACGTATCGCTTTTATTATTTTTATGTTCCACCACCTCGAAATTCAGAGGGGGCTTTGCCGAATAAGGAAGGCCTCAGAACATCCTTTGATGATCACAAGGCAGGTTCTAAAATTACAAATTCAGGTTTTGTTTCTGAAATCAGTTTTTGTAAATACCAACTCACTTTGGTACCTCCAGTTGAAGCTGTCCTAGCTTTCCAGCAAGCACTCCTGTACCATAAGGTAGAGAACGCGACAGCTCTTTCCAGACACTGGCTTCAAGCACCATTCATTGACACTTTGCAGACTCTGCAGAGCCTTACTGTTAGTGCCTTAGTGTTACTTTTCTCTTAGGTCACCATGGGCTTGCTGGTGCCCAACATGTCACAGTTGCTGCTTGCCAGAAAGTCAGGAGAGCCCAGGCCTTGTGATGCCATCTTACCCAGTGGCATTTGTTAATATCGTGGCACCATTTGGAAAATCTGACCTGACCCAGGCTCAAACCTGACGTTTGGAAAGGGTCAACCTGCCCTCCCATTGAGGAGTTCTCCTGATTTAGAGGCTCCAGAACTCTGTCATAAAAGCTTTAATATTTCCTGTCATCAGAACATATAAGCAGAGGCTCCTTTTCTGCTTTTAAACATCAACATGGTTGAATGACAAGTTTAAGCATGTTTTAGTTTTTAATATATTGGCACAATCATAGACTAACATTTGTATTGGTTACCTTTTGATTTGTGCTGTTATTCCTAAATTAGTAGGTTTAATTCACTTAGTAAAGCATAGTAAATAGAATGACGTGAGTATCCCACAATTCCAACTCGTATACGTTCCTGTTAATAATTACTAAACTAGTTTTGTAAAACCCAAATCCCAATCAAACACAAAAGAGCGTTTTCAAGTGTACTTTGTCCTTTAAAACCTAATCAGTATTGCAAAATCTTTTGGCTACAGTAGGTGACCTAGAGCTCAGTGTTAACAGGGTGCTCATTAAGGAAACAGCTCAGAAATGAAATTGTGAGTATGAACAATTATATTAATATTTAATACTGTAGATCTTTCACAACATTATTTTAAAGTAAAACCTCCCTGTTTATACAAATAAAGTATGGGATTGAAAAAATCCTTCCTGATTAAAGGAAAAGCAAATACATATAATACCAAAGTCATAAAGATATCACAGTGTCCCTCGCAGATGTGCTAAGTACTTTTAAATGAACTGCATTTTAAGATGGGGAGAAAATAAACTTTCTCCTGTCTTCCTTTCTGTGTTATGAATGTTTTCATTCATTGTCATTTTTTTAATCACATGTATGATTTAATGCTACTTTTATTGTTTATTTTTGCAATTTTGTCTTAATTTCACAGATTTGGACCACCATCCTAATTTGCATATGTTTGGGAATTATTTTTTTTGTGACATTTCGCAGACATGTCTCAAGTACTTTTTTTTTTCCCAGTTTAAGTTGATAGTGTGAGATTTATGTGCTCCTGATTACTCATGGCTGATGGCTTTTAAAATTTTTGGCTGAATTCATGAAGGCTGTTTCTGTTGTTGATTTGTGTGGTTTAATGGTTTCATGTTGGCTTTTTTTGTTTTCCCCACTTAAATAAAGAATTATCCACCCACAGGAGACAAGGCTGCATTCTGCACTGAGTCTTCTCTTTGCCCTGGTATTGCACTAGGCAAGATAGAAATAATCAGTTTCTGCTCCCAATTTGGACACATTCTATGTTGTCTATTGTAGCATGGTCAGATAAATACACTTTTTTTTTCCTCCTGAAGCCGACTCTGCCACAAAGGTCTTGTTCCTCAAAAATAATTTATTTGGCAAAGCACTACTTGTACAGTAATTATGAGAGATCTTCCCCAATGTCTAATGACGTCACACTGTTAGTCATAAGCAGCCAGTCAAAAGTAAACATTTCCTCTTCGTTTCTACAGAACAGATTATTGTATTTGCTATTTTCAGTCCTTATTACACGAAAGGCTTAGTATGCCTGTGCAGTACATTGCCATATTAGTGTAGCCTGGTTTAGAAATGCAGGATTCTCTGGAGTCATTTGCATGGGCAATGATAAAAATCAACCTCATCTGTCCACACAAGAAAATAAATGATAGAGAGTCACGTGTAATTTTGAGAAATAATTAATTAATTACTGTGTTGTTTCTTCTCCCAATCAGATGATCCCACGGTCCATCAGCCAAGCCAGCCTCCTATTCCTGATGCAGTGGCGTTTGTCGATGAGTCTGGTTCTTCACTTCCTGTTCCAGGCAAAGGTCACGGCCGGCCTGCCGACCTGGACGTGCCCCCTAACCCCACCCTTGCCCCCAGCCTGACCCCAGCCCACCAGCCCACCATTTCGCTCATCTCGGACGCCAACACTGACGCCCTCAGCGTGGAATCTCTGACTCTCCTCCCACCTGCCGCCCCCCCCCGGCTTCTCGGCCTGAGCACCCCGTCTTCCACGCAGCCCGAAGTCCCCGAGAGGCCTGGCGAGCAGGAGCCGGCACCTGAAACGCAGAAGGAAGGACAAGTCACTGCTGCAGCACTAACGCAGGAGCCCGTAGACGGCCAACACCACCTGCAGGGCTAGGAATCTGCCAGGTGCCTTTCTCAATCTAGGCCTTGTGACGTTGAAACTAGGGCTGTCCCATTTCAGGTCTTCATGGTGTAAATAGACATCAGTCATGTAAATACATTACAGAAAGGATAGAGACATCTACAGCATTGTGGCTTGTCTGCTTCGGAATTTACCTTGTGGCTTTTTCACTCGAGACTTTTTTTTTTGAGACAATGAAGGCTTGTGCTGTGTTCTACTGTACTTGCACATGAAGAAAATTCTTTGTCTGCACCTTTGAAAGCTTTGCAGGTAGTGAAAGACGAAACGGATCCGAGTCCACGTGCACCTTTTATCCCAAGGAAAATGTTGTGAATTTTTATTGGTTTGTGTGTGTGAAAGCACATTTACATCTTCAAGCATACCTGTCATGTGGAGATGGGAGAACATTTGCCTGCACGTTGTTATAAATGATAAAGTGCGGAATGTACCATTACAAACCATATAGAATTGCAGAGTAATTCCTGTAATTCGGGTGAATAGGACTCATTTCAAATGAGATGCATTCTGAAAAGCACTAAGTATGTGTGGAAGCAGTTCATGGAAATAGAAAAATAGAAATGATGCTGACTTGCACTAGTTAGTTCCCTTGTAGTGTACAGGCAGCATGAGTAAAAATGATGAGGTCTACACAGTGAGTGGTCAAATTTAGTTTTTTCTAATTACACTTGTTTACAGAAACAAAGCCCAATAATCTAACTCTTGGTAGAACCACATAAATACTAAAAAAAAAAACATCTTTGTTTAATCTTTTTACCTCATTTGACTTCATAGGTCTCATTAGATGCACAAGTCAGCAGTAGAAACGGTGGCGATAGACCATGGACCCTTGATTACCCATGACTCCAAGACCAGTCCTTAGACCTGAACCCTCTGTCTTTTGCCACAGTACATTTTCATGGATATAATTATGTTTGTGAACCATAAGGTGTTCTCACCAGGGAGATGCTGCATACTGTAACAATTCTAGGTGTTTTACTGTTCCGCTTATTGGCAGTAATAATAATAACCACTGGTGGTGTGACTCCTACTTTCCAGCATGAGCAGATGCTGACATGAACTTTGAGACTCAAAGTCCAAGATTTGCTAAAGGCATTTGTAAAGCTGTATTTCTTCATAATGTCTTTGTATTTTATTTCCCAGACATCTAGTATTTTGAGAGTGCCTGGCATGTTACATCTGGTGACCATCTTCAACTGCTCATTCTTATCACTCGAGATACAAAATTATTTTTGTTTTTAAATTGTTAAAGATCCAGATAAATGGCCTCGATATTAAGGCTCTTGATTTGTCAATGTTTTCTTTCCTTTGTTTCAAATAAACATGAAATATTTCCTGATAAGCACACACCTTTTGTTTTTTGAAGAAGTCTTGACAAGACCCCAATGCGTAGGTACCCTAGACACTGATGTACTCCGCGCAAAATGATCAGAAAGACCAACAAATTTTGAAATGTATCCCCCCTGCTCACAAACCTGTCCTGGATGTGCATTGAATTTGTGCACTACTAAGTCTGTGCATCAAAATATCAGTGAGTACATTCTGTGGTAAAATTGAAAGCAAGACATGCCCTCCATTGCATGAACTTTTGCAGAAGTTAATATTTTCTCCCTAACACCTGATAATCCTTTCTTGGTTGTTTCATTAGGAGAATGTCTACGTGTTGGGAGACACCAAAGTGCCACTTTATACATACATACACATTTCAGACAGAAATACCTTCTCCAATTGTAGTCCCAAAGGACTCAGTTTTCGACTCTCCGAAGAAGTTTGAGGTTATATTTCCAAATGTTAAGCTCAAAAGAATTATTAAATTGTACACATAGTACCATTTGTGCAGTGTCTACATTGGGTTGTTTTGTAACATTTTAGGAACATCACCATGTGCATGCAGTTTACTATTACTGCTTTTAAGGCACACTTTATGTAATCTGTATTAGGCTGTTTTATGTTGTTGGGAAATTTGAAACAATACTATTCCGGTATTGTATACTTAAAAATGGAAAAGCACTAGTATTTCATGATTAACATTAGTGACCTTCTTCTGTTGCCAGGTCTACATTTTAACATTTCTATAAACCTTAAGCATTTGATGTAGCAATTCAGTTACTAAGAAACTTCAACTTCATTGCTTATTAGTCCCTTGGTAACAATTTATCATAACATCTGCCAAAAGTTATTTTATGTATTTTTCAAATGCTGCTCTACAGAGGAGGTAAACTGGATTAACACTTATATTTGGTGTATATTAAAGAGCTTTGATATTGGTAGACTCTTATTTCTGTTGGTTTCAAGAATATCACCTTAAAGGCAATTCTGTGTGAAATAAGCGAATAAGTACAGATGGTTTGTGTCAGGTTATGCAAAGATGATGTTCTGTGTGAACAAGAAAAACAGCTGTCAATTATTCCTGTATAATTAACAGTATGACCTTCAAAATCAGGTATAAAATGAATTTACACTTACTAAGGGTTGCATTTTTATATTCTGTTCATTCGAAATAGAGCTGATCTCGAACTGCATATTTTTCCGACGTAACTTTGTCAGAATGGTATTAATTATGGACAATTACAAAATGCAGTTTAGGTGAACCATTAAAATAAGTGAAATTAAAGCAATACTTAAGCCATTGTTTTAGGAACTTTTTTCACAATATAATGTTTTCTTTTGCATTTAAAGGTCAATGAAATGCATTAACAACAAAGTAAGTGTACCGAGTGTGTTTCCTTGTGTACTTATGTTCTGTAAATGTTAAACTCCTTTTGTCTGTAATTACGAATACATTACAAATCAAGCTTGTTAAAGGACAATTACAATAAATTATTGTATTCAGTGAGTCTGGGGCCATTTTTAATTTCTTTTAGAAGAACTATATTCCTGTTATACTCGTATTATACTTGCAATGCTGCCTGCTGTTTGTGTTAGCACCTTTAATGTTATTGTTGGCTATGCTCGTTTATTCAGACATTCCTAATCCATTAGCTCGGTGTGATTTGTTTGAACAACTTGAGCTCGGATTTTGCAGTAAAATGAAAAGGAATTGCTGAACAGCTCCGTAGCTCCTGGCAAAGATTATGCCTTAGAAAGCATAGCCATTCTTTATAGCTTTGTAGCTTGGAAGACCATGGTTTACAAGCCTGGTTCTGATGACTAGAGGGGATATGCTTCTTCAGGCTCAGGGCCCAGTTCTCGGTTGGCCTGAAATTGAACTGACTGGGGTTTATTATTGCAGTGACGGATATATTGATCAATACTTGGGCGTTTTGCACTCACTCCGTTGTGGCTGGGACTGGCAGGCAGATCTTTCACATCTGGTCTCTGGATCGTGACTGTGTTCTGGTCACCTTCTCCATGCGCATGCTCCTGTGGTTTCTACAAGAGCTGTTTGAGAAGGTAAGTTCTCCTCCACCCTTAAGGTCTATCTCAGGGCCACCTCGGTATGTCTCAAGAAGATTTGAGTTTATATCCCGTGGTTCCCATTTCCCGGCAGCGGGTTGTCTCGGGTGCCAAGAAGGATATGGTCCCTTTTTCTCCTTGTGAAGCTGGTCAAGCGTCTACCTGAACACCCCTGAAGTTCCTGTCTCCACTATGCTTTTCTGCTGGCATTGACATTGATCAAGTTGTCGGGTGGGTTTAAGGCCTTGTTAGTGGCCAATACATGTTTTCTTTTCTTTTTTTTTTTAAGAGTGGGTCCAAGGCTATCTTGTATTTGCACCGATCCTTCCAAATCTTCTTAAATCTTCCAGATTATCCAGTCAATAGTACAAGAGGTGCGACTTTGGCCTTGAAGATGCTCCAAGGATTCCAAATAGCTGGACCTGCACCCCCAACACTGCCTGAAACCTTGACTCCGCCTTGCCCTTGGACGTTGGTCTGGAGTCCTAGGATCATCGCTGGGATGTATTCTGCGGTGAGTTAGCTTTGGAATACTTACTGTTGGGTAGATGGTCATCATTTGCAATTGAAAGGGAATTTAGCAGTTTTCCTTAACCTCAGGTCCCTGGAATAGGATTGCTCCCATTATGGTATGATGTTACTACATTTCCCTCACCCTCTGGTAATCAGTGACATAGGGTCCTCTTTGTAGGACTCATCCCCATTGGGTAAATGGTAGCAATTCTGTTTAAGGGAACCACGGTTGTGGACATAACCCAGAGGTTGTTAAACAAGGATTATTACAGTGCTTTCCTGGTAATTTTAGATTTGAAAGTAAAACCCTTTCTAAATCTCACTGATAAATTAAGCAATGTAATTTGCATATACAATAACAGTCATTGATGCAATCTTACAAATTCCTACATGTTTTTTGGATTTGTTATTGGTTAGACTGGTTGTGCACGACCAGCATGGTGGCTCTTTTGTACTGGATAAAATCACAGGATGTCGCATTGAAATTCCATATCACTGTGTTCTTTCCATCTGAGCGAGCAACTGTTACTGATGGTAATAGGAAACTGTTCCTGCCTCGATAACTTCCTTGATGTAAATTATTTCAGGTTTATTGAAATTAGGGAAGTGATCATCCTTGAAAAAGGCAGAGAAACTGCACTACTTCTTTTTTTTGAAGAAACCACTTGACAGATGATTGTCTTGTATTTTCTTCAGCTTCGCTGGAAGGTTGTCTGGATTTACTGTAGTTTCACATAGCTGCTTCTCCCTTTGAAATCCCATGATTTCCCTTTTCATTGCTTTTATGTGCAGTAGTGATTACAACATAACGCCTATAAAATTTATGAAAATTTTCTCCATTTGTGGTGTAGACAAACTGAATTTCCTGGGATGTACCATCAAGGAGATGAGCAATTGTGTTTTTGAAGAATTCGAAATATAATGACTACATCTACAGTATATGAACCTTTGAACCTGTAACTAAGATTCTGTAAACATCCACCTGCGTCAAAGAGTATTAAAAGTTATTTTGATTATGACCTGATGATATCGATGTGATCAATACAAAATATGTGTATCACATTTCCCGTGGACAGACTCATGAATATTAAAGTGATCCAAATACTACTTTACTGATTAAAAAAATCTTTCAAACGCTTCAGCTTCTGAGAATGTATCTGTATTAAAATTAACACACAAGGACACAGGGCGTCAGGGACAGAGCAGCTTGGAACAGGAACCAACATTTCCTACCTAAACTTAGATTTCTGGTGAAAACTCTATCTGGATTATTGTTTGGAATGTTTTCAGTAAGCTAAGCCTAATGACAAAGGTGTTCATGGAAAAAAAAATCAACTTTAATTGTTGTAATCGAAAACATTTGAAATCATTAAATAGCTGGTGCAGACATGTAAAGATCAGCTTGCAGGACTGTAGAACTGGTTAAGAGTGTGAGTAAATTTCCACAAATATACATATTAAAACCAACTTGAAGAGGTGTTTTCATTGATATGAGTATGGGTTAAGCGTTTTCTCTTGTAATTAAAGTGGTTTGGCAGAGCCTGTGGCAGCTGGCCTTCCCCAAGAGGGCCAGTCTAGATCAAAGTCTGTGAATTCCAATCAACCTCTGGGAACAGAAAGGAGCCAGCCCTAGCAACTGCGTTTCCACATACTGCAGACTGCCAGGCCAACTCTGGGGTGTCAGGTTTGTTTAGGCCTTCAAGTAAATTGCTCTGATTTCTCGTAGCCTACGTTGCATCTGTAAGGGCTGGTATGGTGGTGTGTTGATTTGATTTTTATCTTATAAACCCGGTTGTGGGGACTCTGTGTGCTCTGTGCGTTGAGATCGACCCGAGGAACTTCAAATATGAAATCAACAAGTCTAAACAAGAAAATGTGAGCAGCGCCTGAGGATGAAGATTTTGCTGAGCACTCAGGAGTGTAGGCTTCGTGGGGGGGTCAGTGTGATCTTCCCACGCAATAGTTGTTTTTAGTTTACTAGTAGATTAGAATTCTCTAAGGTCGTCACGTAAGATCAGGGCACACTCAAATGTCTCAAGATGTGTCCCACACTAAACCTTTAACCAAAGCACTCTAGATTATGGGGTAAAATTGTTGTAGTTAGAAGGCCGAGTGTTTGTAATGTTATGGACTGCAATCACATTAATCTCTTTACTGTTGTGTTTAGTGAAAAAGCAGTCTATTCTACAAACTCCACAATCCTTTTTCCTGGGTATTGAGGAATTGAACAATTGCAATGTTAGGCCTCTCAGTTCTAGTGCAGCTTGTATTCTGTGAACTGTTATAACAACTAGACAGCTCAGTGAGGGTCATTTCCTTGTGAACTAGACATCAAGATGCTGACAAATTCACAGTCTGGTAGTGAGTGGTGGAATAATTAGAAACCCCTTTCAGTTATCCGAAAAACCAATGAGGTAATGCTGTATCACCTCTGTATGTATATACCGCGAGACGAGAAACAGACAGGAAGCCATCGCAAGCCTTTCGTTTGGCTCATCATCTGTCCGAGTGAGTACTTCACAGTGCTTAATGAGAAATTCAAGTTCATGTTAAAAAAACAGGCCGCATTAAATGTTTTTTTTGCATCACCACTTGACAGCCATAGCACGTCGGGTCTCCTACACACTTTCGTAAGGGGAAAGATAATGCCTCATTTTTTCTCGTGAAGGTACAGTAGTTTCCTTCCCCTGGTTTTAAAGAGAAAGAAAGAATTGGAAGAGGCTGTGGTTTTGCGTTCATGGTAGCTGAAACTGTACCGCAGGTGGTGTAACGTGACTGTGCTGTAAAGGAACACAATACGGTATTCGCCAATCAGTGTTCGTCCTCACTCTGTAAAAACCTGATCAAGTCAGTCTTGGAAGCCGTGTGGCCTCACTTTGTCTGCAACATTTTACTGAAAAAGAAGCTTCACCTATAGACATTTGCCCACAGGTGGTTTGCTTCAGCCATTAGTAGAAAACGGTATTAACTATAACATTTGTAGAATACTTTGCTATTCACTACTACAGATGTCCACTTGTCCTCACGGCTTTATGCTTGATTGGTGTTCTGACCGACCCACTCTCTCACAGCTAGTTTGCCGAAGGCTGACTCAGTGTATCTACCTTTCAGAGAAACATTGTGAGGCCCAAGGATTTCAGTTCTCTTGTAATAGATTCTTAATGTTGTCTTTTAACATGCCCCCTCATTGCCACAAGGGTAACATACCATTCAGAGGGACAGAATATATTTCAGGCCTTACTGGAATACAAGAGTGAGACTTGCAACATGAGTAACAGGCAGCCTCAAGTTTATAAATAAATCCTTCACAGTAGTGAGACATTTCTAGTTAATTTCCACATGAATGGAAACACCAATCAGTGCTGCTTTATCGGGCCTGTGCTACAAATGGAGGAAGCAGTCTCTTAAAAAGAGACTTATTGTGTCTCAAAGGCATTTATAAAAACCCTTTTAAAGTCTGTGACTAATGGCACCCAAATTAGAAATTAGGGGAATAATTATTTGTTTAATTTAGAAGGAAAAGCAGTCCTCAAACATGCTATCATTGGGTGTTCTTTTATTATTATTTGTGTTTGATTTGTAGACATGCTGTATCCTTCTTCCGCAACACTAATTTTCAGATGTGTAATAATTTGTCTGTCTCTGTTTGGCCGAAATAAAATGCCTTACACATAAATTGTGGAGAAGCCTGTCAATTTTACCTGTAAGGCAAGCTTCTGTCAGAGCAGCGCTGGTGTTCTGACGTCACTCTCTCTCTCTCCACTATCTGTGATAAGAAAGCCACAAGAAAGAGGTTTCAGCATTATTATCTATTCCAGGAAAAGAAACACTCGCTCTTCCCCGAAGAGATACTTGCTCTGCAGAATCTGTTCTAAATTCAATCAGACTGCAGGGTTACCAGCTTGTTGATTATGACCAAGGCCATCTCACTTCAGACCTTGTTAACACCATTGCTGCAAACTATTTGTAGCAGTATTCTTTTTTTTTTAATTTTACAGTTTGTGTTAACATGGCATATGGTATATTAGATCTGGCTTGGTGCTACATGGACTACAGAGTGACAGCATCCCTTTAATATTTAGAATTTCCTGGTAACATTCCAGCTATGCAATGTAATATTAAAATGATGTATATGTAGGTGATATGTTTTTTCTTCCATAATCCATCCTTATTGTCAGAATCTGTGCAACTGTTGTGTGAGGTTTAACAATGCCCTTTCATTTCACAATACTGCTCCAGGATATTTACTCACGCATGAATGGAATGAGTCACAGACCTGTACTGTATAACTAGATAAGAAAAGAACCTAGAAGTGTTAATGGATATTACCCTTGCATGTCACAGGCTACATTCAGCTTCTGCATTTTCAATTAGCAAGAAATCATTATGGGGAAATTGTAGTACAATCATACTGATAGACGTTCACGGTCATCAGTAGTATTTTCCTATTGGCTGTTACTGGGGCCCCTGCACAGCACACTAGGTATACATACCTAGGAGTAAAATTTTCCATTTGTCCATCGTTGGTGTGTGTATCAGTGACATAACTGTGATATTCCGTGCTGTTCCCTGTGCTATCTGGACCGAGGCAATTATCATGTACTTGTGTATCATCAAATTCCATCACAGTGTGCTTACAAACAGATTGTACTCAGACACTCTCTGTCCTTCTTCACTGCTTTCCTGGTGCCTGGATATTTTCCACCCTTGTGCCGCAGTGGAATGAACTACCTGAGGAAATAAGAACTGCTCAAGCAGTTCCTGACCAACCTCTCGGTGCTCAAGACACAACGGCTGTGGTCTCCCAGTGCGCAGTTGCAGTCTCAGGCTCTCAGTTGCAAATGTCCTTGATTTTCAGGCTGGCAGCGTGGTTTGGCTTGCTGTGTATATGAAAAGCCGACCATCAGGCTTCCTTCATGAATGACTGGTGTCCCCACTTTCTGTATACTATTTTGTATGTTACTGCTCAATTGTGCTGGCCTTAGTTCCTATATGGTGTACTTAATTGTCGGATGTAAATAAGTGGTATATATGTAGTACATCACACTGGATAATGGTGTCAGCTAAGATTATTGTTTTTGTTTTAATTGTAATTGAGATGTCTGTGTCAGTTCATTTAACTCTGGCCCAGGTTTTATCTTGTAGAAAATTAAAAGGAATCCTTTTTGTTGAAAACGCTCTGACTCAATGCATCACGCTGGCGAAAGCGTGACTCAAAAGTCCAGTAGAAAATACACAATTCCTGAAAACCAGTGTGAAAATTTCAGGAAGTTTTACATGTACATTTTCACTTCACCGGTTAGTTTCATTCCGACTGAAATCATTGCCACAGTTCAGTTGAACTAATTGCTTGCGCCTGTATGCCACTTCTCTGTAACGGCTCTTCTCATAATTATTTGAATCTGTATCACACTTCTTATCTTATCAGTTGTGCAGCCACTTTCCAGAACATAAAACAAGAGCAACATCATTGCACCGACATCTTACAACATGAAAGGATATAAAAAATAAATCATTCATACTACACACATCTATAGGTGTTCAACTAATATCCTAAGCAAAGAGTAATTTCATGTAAAAAGTACCATTTAAAAAATGAATAACACTTGGACTACTGGTATTTTAAGAATGCCTGTATGAAATAAGAAGTTATTGTTGGGCAAATCAGCAGATAACTGTATCAATTCCAGACACGTATGAATCACTCCACTCCACCTCCCTTGCACTTTATAAACTAAAGGCAGACAATGACCTTTGCTTTCTAAAGCTAATCATGCAGGAATATTAGGAGTGAAACGCATTAAATGAAGGAAATGGGGTGATTTACCCAGCGAACGGATGGGTAAATATACTGTATACACAAGTATATTAAAGAAACAATCAATGAAGGTTCTTCTTTCATAAGCTGTCACGTTGCGCTGCCGGAGTTCATTTCTTGTAAATGACTCCGCGTACTACCAAACACTCACTGCCACCAGAGCTCCATCTCTGGTGAAGACAGCTGCCTCCCCCACATTAATCAATACACATGATCATAATGAACATGTGCACAGAGACTCTGTACTAGAAAAGCCCTTACATCCTTGATTTACCATCAAAAATGTGCAGAGAACCAATGAGGAAATGTTGGCCTTACTGAATGACTTATGCATATTAGTAATCAAGATATTGATCTAATTTGTACCACAGTTTAATCACTATCTTCAAGAACCTTAATAAAAGCATCTCTTGGTGTCTTTGATTTGGCTGTTGCTCTGTTTCCAGAAATGAGATCACTTTCCTCTCGCTGTTCTGCAAGGACACAGCTTTCAGATCTCTATACAGCAACTGGGTTTTTTTATGGGAAGGATGTGTCAATCTCATCTCTATACAGCCCCTGGAATTTTTATGGGAAGGAAGTGTCAATCTCATTTAAACTGGACATACTTTGCGGGTTAAAACACCGTCTTCCATTCAGCTATCATTTCACCAAAAATGGGCAAAATATGCCTAAACGTATCTATAGTCTCAATGTATTCTTCAGCACTATGTCACTAAGGTTTTGTGTTTTTTTTAAATGTTTACTGGCCTTTAGGGGGTATTGTTTTGCTTAGCTTTGTTAATTTAAAAACAGCTTGGCTCTATTATTAGTATGACTAATATAAAAGAGAAAAAACAACTGAATACATCCCTTAGTTTCTTACATTATTTACCATGTAAGAAGAAATAGCATTTTTCATTAAAGGGAAGACATACCTGTGTTAATATATTAACTGGAAACAATGTAAAAAGCAAAGAGCAGACAGAATATCTGCCACAAGACCGGAAGAGGAGTTTGGATCTGGTGACCTTTTTCCTTATTTAACTCTAAGCTACCCATGTGGGTGTCGCAGAAAGCTGAGCACATAACGGTTTTTACCCACCTAAAACTAAAAATAAACCTCAGTCCTCGCACCAAGTGCACTGCACTACTTGAAATAAATCACAATCAAATGTTTTCCTCAAATACTTTGTCATGGTCAATAGGCCCTGTCGAGAGGCCTCTGGCCATATTAGGAATCAACTTTTCTAGAGTGGAATCTAAATCAATCCACTGACCCATAAGAATAGAGCCATAGAATTCTAACTGTATTTGTGCTATAGTAAAAAATGTAAAAACCAGGGATTTCTCTATTTTTAACCATAGATATCCTGCATTTACACAGATTTTGACAACAATATTTAATGTTGTGTGGAATTCTTGGTTATTTAAATCCCTGTTTTAAGTTTCTTATTGTGACACAGAGATGGAAGACTGCCAAATGATTGTCACAACTTACATTTCCAAGATATTTTGGGGGTCCCCCCCACAAAGCTTAGCAGGAACACAGCTGTTCTAAGTTCTGTATTGCTTTGTTGTACTCTCCAATTTGAAAATGTTAGAAACTTCCATTAATTCTTCACCTCTCACCTCTGAATGTTTGATTGGTATACATTCAATTTAACTTCAAAATCTATTTTAGGCATCCAACCAAATTTGTTCAAAGAAAAAGAAGAGTGGGTTAAAGTTTCAGTATAAAATTTATTTTCTGTAAAAAAAATAAATGTTCTACTCTGCATAGCAGAAAAATAACAGTAGGAGTCAGTAACCCCTGGATAGTGTAAACATTCATTGGTTATGTAAACTTTCAGAATGAAGTGTTCAAGTCTCATTTTAGAATACATTAGTTTGCTACAAAAATAAACATATTTAAAACAAGATGAGATGCGTCTCACAAAATACACATTAGTAAGTGTTGTCCACTTGTGATGGCAGTGCTGTAATGCTTGTTGACTTTTCATTATATCCGGAATGGAAAACTTTTCAAAAAGTCTTTCAAGACAGCGTTGACGGGAATGCTGTCAATATTGTCTTTGCCAAAGGTTTCGATAATCCTTTTCCTGCACAGTTCCTGCAAAGACTGGACCTTCACTTTTCTGTAAGGCTTCACCAGACTTTTCTTCGGCGAGTCCATGTAATGTTCCAAGAGTCTGAACAGACAGGTGAACGATTCCTTGCTACCGACCAGGCTGAAACGGGAGTTCTGGAAGTCGATGCGGATGCTGGTGGGACCAGACGCGCATTTCACGCTGAGCGTGAAAAAATAATCTTTCTGGCGGCTGTCCCGAATTAGAAATGTACCCTGAGGCTCCGTTTTGAGCTTTGTATGGGCTTCTTCCACCGTCATGGGACCCCAGTAGAAACCGCCGTTCTCCAGCATGGAGGTGGTCATGGTGATGGTTCTGAAGTCCCTCTCCGATCTGAAGTGGCGAAAGCGGGTCGGGCTCTCCGGTCTGGCGACTCTCTGGCGCGGCTCTCCGTGTCTCCGTGGGGAAGCGGGTGCGGGTAGCTCAGCTCTTGCTTGGTTTTGCTCTGATGCATTATCTTCCACGTTACTATGTGCTACCATCCTACAGCGCAGACCAGCCTGTGTGGTCTTCCATAGCGTCCGTCATTCAGGTAATGCAGATGCGGCTCCTTAGTCTGAAACAATACAAAACGCGGCATTAATGACATCGTAGCTCAGAAGGCAAGCGCACTGACCACATCTGTCACTTCACCGGGTATTTTTTCAGTCACTGAATCTATAAAGCAGGAAGTGACAAGCTAACGCAAAGAAGGACTCAGGTGTGATTGTGAAACCAGAGTCTTGGCAGAGATACCAGCCCACCTCCATTCAAGATGCTCAATGGGTGACTGACTCGAACAGGTAGGATTTGTATTTGAATCTGAAAGAAACAAGTTGTACTGTACAGCCATATGTCTGTGAGGACTAGCATGATCTGTTTTTAAAGGGTTAGATAACCTTTAGTAATATGCACCCTTAACCACTGTTCTCTTAAATTGCATTTTATTTAGATCACCAAAACCTGGTGTTTCGTCACCGATTCACACCTGCGGCTGGTTGACTTCACCTCACAGTGGATCACTTGAATAGGCTATCCTTAATCGTTGCAGACCACTCAATCCTAACTTCTTTTGTATACCAAAACATTATGACTCCAAAACGAAATTATTCCGAGCCACTGCTGTTATACATTAACTGGAGTTCAAGCACTAATGCTGTGCGTGATTTCGCAATGTTACGATCCGAGACGTGGATAAAGGGTTTTACGTTTAAACTGTCTTCATCAGAGACAATATCCTACACCATCCTGTCATTCGTATAATGCCTGTATTAAATCGAAGATCTCCAAAAGGTACTGTAAATACTACAACTTAACCTTTTAGAAATCTCACCTTCACAAACGCGAAAACTGCAAAGCGACTCGGCTGGAATAAAGAGCGACAACCATTTAATCCAGTATTACTATATAAGAAAGCAGTTGTAGACTGGCCCTTTTTCGTATCTGGTTTCTATTTAACATAAGAATTAATGAAACGACTAAAGCCTGAAGTTCAAGACGATCGATAAAGGGAGCAAAAGTGTCATCACAGAAGAAGGCAAGAAGCTTACCGTCTGCACTAATCGGTTCAGTTGATTAAAACTTAAGGCAAACCGATCCGAACGACGCCAGTACTCGGATTTGTAAAAAGACCCGGACGGCACAGTTCCGCACAAAACAGGATAATTATTTCCACAGTCACAACTGAGTGGGACCAATTCCACAACCTGATCATTCCAGGGGTTTAACCTGGCACTGCGGCTGAGAGCTCAGAACTGTCTACCTTCCACTGCAGAAGACCATTAGCTGTGATGTATATCTACAGACGAGCCTGTACTAATACAGCTGTAAGCAGGGCACGCCTACCGATTGCATGCTGTCTGCTATTCCAGGAAAGCTCGCTTTTCCTTTCGTTTTAACTGCGCACTTCTTAGAAATCGCTGGGCCATTTTTTTTGTCAGCTCTCGTTTTAGCAGAAGAGAGCCTACTTATTTGCATGATGAAGCTATCCCGTGAGCCTCGCTTCCAAGGAATCGCGATTCCGCGGTCACAAGGAATGAGAGGATTAAAACTCGCCTTTAAAAGGGAAAAGGCGATTTGTTGGGCAATTTCGTGAGAAACGTGAAATATTTTAAGATGAGTGGGGCCTTTCGTGCGAATATACATCGAATAAGGCGGGTCTCCCTAATGTTTTTGTTTAAAATAAGCATATTTTTTTTAAACAAGTGCGTTTTTCTGAAACCACGTTTTTCTCCTTAATGTAACATTTTGCGCTGTAGAGATGAAGTGTTTTTTCCTGTCAGAAGGCGGTGGGTTTCAACAGGCTGACACTGCATTCCCTATCCCCCCCGTTCTAAATGCAAAGCACATTGACTCCATATAGGAATGGCTGTAAAAACCTGAACTTTAGGATCTCTGTTTCCATACCCTGTGAATTTATAGTTGGAACACTGGTACTTAAAAGTAATGCTTGTGTGGGATCTATGATTATTTTAAAATGTGAATTAAAAATTTGGACTTGCAGGCTGTGTGGTGGCATGGTAAAATAAGAAACTGTGATGCTAGCCAACCTTTAGCTTGATTTTGCAATACATTTTAAATATTGAATTTATTTTGCTTGATTTACTTAATTTTGCCTTGGATTACAGGAGGTAGAAACACAGTTGAACTTCAGAACAGAGGTGTCAAGATCTCCTATTTCTTTATCATACGCACATTTCCCTTGAAATAGTTCAGAGCAGCAGGAGAGTGAGAAGAGCCACACAAATCAGAGAATCAGGTAATTCTGGGGAGAACACGGTTTCAAATATATGTTACTGCTTTACAGAGATTTGTGTTTTTACCTTGGTTTCTCTGAGATCTGGGTCTTGTATCCACTACAAAACTCATTCTGACTTAAAAGAGGAGAAATAAAGCAGCAAGTGTACTTTAGCATGTATTTACTTTCAGAGGTTCAGTTTACCATCAAAGTCAACACAGTTTCCTGAAATTGGTTTCTAATCCACCTTAACCGAATGAAGCTGTGGTTTTCCTCAGTGCGAATTTCGGGGAAACAGTACCACATGTCTGAAACTGTAATATATCACCCTCTGAAGATCTACATAGGAGGCTTCTGTCTGCTGGAAGGTAATTGAGCAGTCATGTGACAGTCTGATTCTTTGAATTTCAGTTCTTCACCTTATCTATCATTTGACTTTCAAAGCTGAAGATGAAGACTTTTAAGACTTGTTTGGTGTTTGTTCTTTGTGCATCCTGTCTCTGGTAAGAACTTTACTTCCAAAAACCGAAGGCTTAAAGAATTAACCTTTGAAATCACATCTTTATTTTGAGCTTCTGTGCTCCTGGAACTCAAGCAGTAGTTTTTAAGAGTTATGGTAGAAACTGCTAGCATCGTGTGGTTATCGGCAATGGAAGAAAACCAGTTGTGATCACTTTTTGCAGAAAACTGACATCCGAGTGTCCTAGTTCAGGCCCTTCTGCCACAGTAGACATTTGTTCTCTAATAAAAATATAATATATTGGTGACACCCCCCTCCCAAAGAAACATTTTGAGTGATCAAGACTTTTCCTAATAGGAATTATTTATTCGAGCGATGGGAAAAAAAGAAAGTGTATCAGCACGGTATGTTTTCTAATTAAATTAATTCAAAAAGCTTCCTTATCTTCGCTGACACCGGGCGTAATAGCTGCCCCCAGTTGGTGTATTGGAGAGTGTGCTGTGATGCAGTGTTCAGAGGCACATAGCACAGATTGCTGCCCCCTATGGGCAGCCTGTTGCAGTGTTTTCCCCACTGCCTCGGTGTATCTAGAGGAAGAGAAGTCTGACTCTTTAAGAAGCTTGAGAACGTCCCCATTTTTTAGCCCAGGACGTGGGCCAGAAACAGGACTTGAGGACTTTCAGTAGCAGCTCCCGTTGAGTCTGCCTCATCAAACAGAGGGAGATTTGTTTGCGATATCTTCTGTCCTGTCGGTGTCACTGCGTTCACCTTTTAGTGACAGACCCTACAAGTACAAATGTGGAAGATGTGGAAGTTTGCAAAGTCCGAGAAAGTCTGACACTTATTTTAAAAAGTATGCATTGCCCCTAGAGTGGCACTGTGGTGTGGCTGTTAGCTTTTAAGGCAGCACTTACGCCCTGGTACACTCTTGCCTTTTCTTAAGGTTTTTCTGTGACTGGCTCTAAGCAACTTTTCAATGATGGTTGGCTATTGAATCTCCCTGCACACTGGTTACTGGCTGGTTATTTGGACTGAAAACACACTGGTGGCAGCACCAGATTTATATGGCTGAGGGACAGAACTGATATTCCAATATTAAAGACACCCGGTTCCAGTGGGATTAGGGATCAATTCCTGGCCCCCAGTTTTGTCTCTTTCCAGGTTCATCTACACAAGGCTTGGAATTCAAGATATATTTTTAAAATGTGTTCATTTTTATTTTAGCTGGAGGATTTACGCCCTATAGGTGTTAGGGCAGATTTGTCACTGGAACACACATACAAGATAAGATCACTTTATTGGCCATATGCAATTTATTCCATTAGGAATTTGTCTTTTCGCATACCCCTTCTTGCTCTCCATGAGACACACAGGCACACAGACGAGGAGAGAGAAGCTTGGGGTCAGAGCGCAGGGTCAGCCATTTATACGGCACCCCTGGAGCAGCTGGGGTTAAGGGCCTTGCTCAGGGGCCCAATGGAGTAGGATTCCTCTGCCACCCGTGGGATTTGAACTGGCAACCTTCCAGCCACAGGTGCCGATCCTTAGCCACAGAGCCACTGCACCATCCCAATAAATATATAAAGCTTTATATATATGGTTTTGTTTTCCATTTACACGTCCTCTCTTGAAGTATTATTTTGTGCTGTTTGGGGTTTAAAATCCCCTTGTAGGACTTTCCTGTTTTCCCAGAATAAGTGCCCAGTGCAGGTGACCGACTGTACGATAACTCTCAGTTTCCCCGCTGAAGTTAATTTCTGGAAAACCGCAAGTGGCAGACTGCAGCCTTCCTTTATCTTTTTCTTTATCTGTTGATACAATAAACTGTTTCTTCTGTATTGTTTATTCATAGTCCACCTTGGCAGTTACAGTAAGTTGAAATTGTGTGTACAGTGAGTGAGTAACTTCCAAGAGCCAGCTAAATGCTGTTGTAGATTCAAAAGCACTGTGATAGTTGCATTGTAGAGATGTACATATGTTTTTAAAGCATGTTTGTATTTATATGTGAGTTACAAATAATGGATTATGTACAGTAAACTATATATACTGACTTGATTTCATTTTCTAAATGGAAACATAAATATTTTAGGACATTGAAAAGTTCTTTGGCGTTTTGTGAAAGCAGAAAAATGTTTTTGTCCTTTAACACTGTTAAATTAACTGCACTTAAAGAGCCAACTTTCTGTTGTATTTAGAATGAAACTTGTCTAAGAAAGTGTTTACTGTAGAGGGATGACTTACAGTATATTCATCCTTTTTCATTTCCACACTTATGGAGCTCAGATGTTTTACATTTTGCAAAGGAATACTTGTTGTAAGTGTACAGTGTACAGAAGTGTTTTCAGAAAGCAAGAAAAACACTGGGTGGACTGAAGGTGGAAATATACTTGTTGTCCTGGTGTGTATTCCTTTGGTCAAGAGAGAAGGGAGGGTTACATGTAAATGTAGTACTGTGATCTCTGGGCCTCATCTGCAGACAGCACTGTCTTAGCCTTGCTGCCTTTCTATATAGAGACCAATACCAAAACAGTTAAGGAGGGAAAAGACTAAACAATTACTATCAAGAAACATTAACCCCAAGACTGACAGGCACTACCCATAACTAATAATTCTGTATCTGTTCATTTAATCCTGTCTAAACTACATATTATACAGATATCCAAAGATAACATCTTAAATGACAGCCGTGAAGTACGCAGTCAAAAGCATGTTGAAATTTCCTTCCTTTCTAGCTCCACATCTTTACAAACTGCAAAAAAAAAAAAGATTGCCAGAAGACGCCTGCCTTCATTTTACTGAATGTCATAAAGTCGGTTTAGAGTGAGGTTGGTTGTGCACTTAATTTCATTGCATTTTTTACCTCCACTTTAGCCTTCAATTTAGATAAATCACTCATGCGCCTGCAAAGCAAAGCCATTTACCTGGGGAGCTTACTGAGAGTAATAGAAAATTAAACTTGACAAATTGCTGGCAAAAGGACATAAGCATCTAATAGAAAGTGATCTTTGCAATTGCAGATTATGTATATAATATTTTAAAATATAATTTTTGTTTGATTTTGCTCTTTGTAAGATGGCAACATTTACTGTGCAAATGGATTGTTTTGTGTGCAGTATCTCACTAACATTAGTTTTGTACACATTCTCTCCACTTCATAGTTCTTTTGACTGCTCTGTAAGATTGTGCGTAACAGCAGCAGTTTGCTCTGTGGTACAGAACAATTTCAAACACCATCCATCTATTCTAACCACTTTATCCAGTACAGGGATGTGGGGGAGCTGGAGCCTATCCCAGCAAGCAAGAGGTGCAAGGCAGGGTACACCCTGGAAAGGATACCAGTCCATCACAGGGCACGCACAGACACCAGGGTCAGTTTTCCCAGAAACTAGTTCACCTACCCGGTATGTCTTTGGACTGTAGGATGAAACCAGAGCGCCTATAGGACACCCATTTGAACAGGGTGGGAGCATACAAAAATCCACCCAGATAGCACCCCAGGTCTGGACTTGAACCCAGGACCCAAGCACTGGTAGGCAGCAATGTTAACCACTGTTCTGCTCGATTGTTAACTAATTAAAACTTATTAACTCATTATAAGGTTTTCCTTGTCATGATAGTCATTTGGTCATCTCTACACATACTGTACATAAAGCTGAAAGTTTACTTTTCATACCTAAAAATACAGGTCTGTGAGGATTAGCTGTTAGTTTACACAATATCATCTAAAATTTCAGTAAATTATCACGCAGGTGTGTAAAGATGGAAAGCCATCTGAAATAAATACAACAAAAGCGTGTGGGTTCACGTGTGTTGGTTAAATAATCATACTGGGACGTTAAGGACCTAAGGTTGGTACCTTGAAGCTTTTTGTCTTGCTGAACTAAGAGGGAAGAGCTATGTTAATCTTAGCTTAGCTTGCACCACAACAGCAATTTTGAAGAAAAGCCCTGCCCAGTGCAAGTGATTCATAACTGTTGCATGTTTGTCCTAAACCCCTTGCTTCAGAGTGAGCTGTAAAAATAGTTTAAAATGAAGCAAAAAGAATAGTTAAACTTGAGGGAGGTGTTGGATGACGCTATATATGACACAGGACACTGCCCGGATGAGGCCAGTGTTTTCTGTAGATTAGCAATTGTTGTTTGTTAAAGCCTTTATTTCAGCATTCCTGTAGTCTAGATGTTTGAACAGTTCTCTGACTTGCTCCATGATGCCAAGTGTTTTCTCTCTGTGTTTAGCCTCTGTGAGTAACCAGTGGAGATCACAATGGCTCCCAGGAGCTTGGCTCTGTGA